AAAAAAAAAAAAATTTATAGTATTAGAAGGCATAATTTTATTGTAATTAGGATTTTATTTATTTTACTGTACTTTTCAAATTGCTGTAGTTACTGATTTTCATATATTACAGTGAAAATCAGAAATCTAAGAAAAATGCCAATAGGTGATTGGCTAAAAATATTCTTTATCTAATCATGTATTGGCATTTTTTCTAGATTTCTGATTTCTAGTATGTTGTACGTATAAAAATCAGTAAACACAGTAATTTGAGAAGCGCAGTAATTAAAGTCAATTTTTATTGTTATTAAGAGAAGAATTTTTTTATTAAAGATAGATATTTAATACAAATAATGTTTATTTTTATTACATTTAGATTTAATTCTCAGATAATTTATTGATTGATATATTATTTATTGGTAAAAAAATATTTTTTGAATTTTCAAAATAATATATAATATATATTATTCAGAAGTCGAATAGTCAGAATAATTTTGATTCTCATTGGAATCTTCATGGGTAAGGTTGGAAGTACTGCTTGTAGATGGAGTAGACGGAATGGGATCTGTATCATGTTTGAAGTATACTGGTGTTTTGCCTTTATTTATTTTGAATTCGGTATGGATTATATGATTGCTTTGATTTGAAAAATATCCTGTAATAGAAGAAATTATTTAATGAAAATGTTAAATAGGAAATGAAATTTATTTAAAAAATAAATATTGTACCTCTAACTTGATTCAATGTAGTTTGAAGTTGAGTAATTCTTGTAGAGTCAGAAAAGAGATTAGGAGCTGTAGAGTTTGAAATATTGTTTCTTAGTATTTGTTTTTTGTGGTAAGTAGAGCTAGAGTATGTATTAAATTTTTTAGCAATATGTTCAAGTTCTTGTTTTTTTGCGTTTATTAGTTTGTTTTGAATAGCCATTTACTTTAGAAGTGGATTGAGATGTAAGCGAGAGAAAAGAATAATTTCATTCTATAGTTTCACAAAGAATAAAAGCTGAATTTGTAAGTGGTATAAGCTCTCTACTTACAGAAAAAATTGGTTGTCATGTTGTTGCTTTTGCTACATTAGCGTGTTGATTATGAAGAGGGTATTTGTATAAAATTGATATTTGAGATTGATTTCCTGTTACTCCATTGTAGACATCTCTTTTTAATCTAAATATTCTTTGATCATTTTCTGTTACAGCTGGATCTTGAACTGGTGCTGTAAATATTCCAAATGCCAGAGCAACTGGGAGATCGTAAATCATAACTTTATTACCAAGTGCGGAAATATTTAAAGGGACATACTGATTAATAGTTATCTAATATTAAACAAACGAATTATTATTACTAGGCTAATGTGTAGCATTATATGTCTGGAGCTCATTATATGATGTTCATCATATTACACAAACACGTTAGTATGCATATGTTGGTAACATTAAAGCACAAATATAGACACGCGTGCGGACAGACAAAAAATTTCCAAATTCTATTTCTGATAAGATTTACATTATACATATGCAAGTATATCAAAAAAGTAAATTTTGTCAAGATTTTTTCAATTGAAGCGCATCAGGAACGTAATTTTTGTATCACTATGCATAAAAACTTAGGGTCCGTCGCTACGCTCCGGCCAATTATTAATTAATTATAGAATAAATATAAATATTTTTTTTAATGTTTATTACATTTAGTTTATCATTTTCTATCGCAAATCTTCCAATGATTAATGCTATCGCTTTTTCCCAAATTTCTTCGATCAATTCGGAGTGAAATGCTTTGAATTTGTATTCTACAAATTCATCTTCTCCGGCTCTGTAAATAGCTACTCCTGTAGTATACTTATTAGCGTTTGAAGAGTATTTGATGAACGAAACTGCACAGAACATAGAAGTTATTTTTTTTACAGAACGATTATGATAGAAGATTAGTGTATTTAATTTTATGTTTTTTTATGCTTTTATATTTTTTTTTTCATTAATAATCTGTTTATTTTTTATATTGTACAGAACAGATAAGATATTACGATACGGGCTTATTTTTGATAAAATACTAAAAATGCGTAAGTTTTTATTATATTGTTTATTGAGTTATTCATAAGATAGATAAGGGTAATTTTATTAGGCTTGTCGAATTGAATTTACTTTTACGGATTTTTTTTTTATTTATATTACGGATTTTTTTTTATTTACTTTTTTTGAGAGTTTATTTAAAGAAATAACTTATTCTGGAATTTTTCAATCGAATAATTATGTTGTCTAGATTTCGTTATTTGAGATTTTTTTTAAAATAAAATATGAATCATATATATGATGTTATTAATCAATTGGAAGATTTTATCATTCTTAGAATGCTTAATAATACAAGCTTGATAATTCGAATAGTTGTTTGATAGATACAAGGTATGTAATAAAAAATAGATCATGAAATTAATAATTTGTTATCGATTAAGCACAAATATCATGATTTTTATATTGTATATATCATTATTGTTATATTTACGTTACGTAGTCTATATATTATCAATTTGTGTGCCAAAATTCAAAGTGTACGGTAAAGTAGTATAGTCGAATCTAAACATTTTTAATAATGAGAATTTATCATAGCGATAAATTGGTCAAAAAAGGAATAATAGGTTTATATATATGCACGTATATACATATAAATTTTGGCAAAACATACCGATACGTAGGAATTACTATATTTATCATTTGTAAATGATCGATCTTTTTTTTTCATACACATTAATATTTTTTTAGTTAGTAATTTTAGTTAGTAATAATGTGTAATATATAAATCTCTTGCTTTTTTAGTTAGTATATAATCACAAATAATAGTTATTTTTTTT